AAGTCATAATTCTGAGATTAAAGTCAGAATTCTGAGATTTAAGTCAGAATTTTGAGATTTAAGTCAGAATTCTGACTTTTCCCATATAAAACTGAAATAAAAGTTTAAAATCAGTTAACTTTTTTTTTTTCCAGCGGCCCTAATCCTCTTCTGTATTTACTAATGAGACGTCGCAGTGTTTTATAAACATACTGATATGAACCTCTTCATATTATTGGAATGAAAACTCTTAGAGACGTTTTTCGTGTTCTACTTTACACTGAATATTAGCCTTTGTTGCTACATACAGCTAACTCGATAGTTCAAAATCCTTAATCAAATGAAAAACAAAACAAACAAAAAAACACGTTCTTAATCAGTTACGCCTTTCTTTAATGTCAACAATAAGCCAAACTGTTGCCCTGCCTGTTGATCGTGGCCTGTAGTGAGGCCGATAGCAGCTGTTAGTTAGCGGATCAGTTGGTTATTCACCAGAAAACACTGCTTACCTTCACTCTGGGTATACTCGCCTCGAAGCGGAGCTGCTGTACCGCCTTTTTCATGCTGACCAAGTTCGAAGAGCTCGACATTATGCTTGTATATTTGTTTTTAAAAAGCTGGGCGCTAGTAGCGGTTATTAGGGCTACGATGCTTTGACAAAAGCAAAGATGAGAACATCCGGATTCCGGTTGTTGTTATCTCTTGGTGACGCCAGAGGGCGCCAGAGTAAACAGGAAACGAAACACTTTGAAAGGAAAATCTTTATTGTGACAATTTCCATCATACTTCCATTGCTCCATTTGATCAAAACCTTTAATTTATATACTCAATATTTAAAAATGCTATAAAATTAAGTTACTCCTTAATTGATAAATAAATCTAAACTGTCAGTAGTGACCAGGCTTTAGAGGAATAAAGGTGAACGATAAACTTATAAAGTGCTTATTTGATCAATGCGGTGAATGATACATGTATTTGTAGAAAATGAGTGTTCATCGCTGCTGGCAGTGAAACAATTAGGTGCTCAAGTCCAGCATGGGAAGACAGGGAAAAAAACAAACAAAACAAACCTATTCTAACAAACCTATAAAGATAAACGTTTTTATTTTTTAAGTGACACTGTGATCATCAAACGTGAAAATACTCATTTCACCAGTGTGAGCTTGAATACTGGACTTGACATGAGGATGTTGATCTTCTGTTGTGCTTGACTCTTGCCACTGTCCTCGATTTGAATGCTTGGAAGAACTGAATTTTTAAGGAAAAAAAAAAACAGATCAGCAAGGTTAGTGAGTAATCTATGATACAGTGAGAAGTCTCAATCTTAAAGCAACACTGTGCAAGTTTTCGCCACTAGGGGCACCACACCTATAGCATCCAGCGCCCCTGACAGAAACTGGTCACTGTAGCAGAATTGAAAAGCCTCCCTTTGTTTTAGAATCTGATAGCAGAACATTTTGGAGCAGTACACTGAGAGGTTACTTGTAAAGACCCTTGAGGGGTATATCCCTCGCGATTAAATCCTACACTAGAGAACCAAAAAAATATGTCTGATCAGGTAAGGAAACTAAATGGAGGCTCACATGGAAAGATAATCGTGCAGATTTCTGCCCCAATCTTCCCCATTACACATGTCATTATATCAGGGACATAATCCTGCTGTCCAGTCTTAACATGATGACTTGATGAGATTAATGGAGTCTGGTGTGCTATTGCTTGGTTGGAAAGAAAACCTGCAGCCATATGGCCCTTTCTGGAAACAGTTTGAGACCTCTGCTAAGGTTATATAGCAGAGCTTCTGAGGAGCAACCAGCACAGGGCTTTGATAGGTGCCAATTGCTGTATAATGACCTAAAATAAAAATAATTTAATCTATCTCTAGCTAATACTTGGGTCAACATTTGCATAGTGTTGCCCTAATGAAAAAAAAAAAAAGTATGATCTAAATTGGAAAATAGGCGTACTCCCTGCTGTCTGATAGGAGGCGCAGTGCCCGGTAAAGCTCAGCAGTGGATGGCACGAGGGAAGTCCGTGACGGTTTAGGAGTGGAGAAGGTACTGTAGATTGGGGATTTTGAGCGCTTGGCTTTCACAGAGGACATCCTGATCTCTGGTTCACTCCCTGCCGCCATGCAAGAAATCATAGAATTAAAAATCAGAGCAGATTTGCAGACAGGACAGAATCAATGAGACTTATTAAGAATATAACTGCAGAACAACAGTTAAAGTAAATCAATAACAACTAAAATACATTCTGCAACCAAATATTGCCTTTTCACCATTCTCTGCTTTTGCAATGTTGCAGATACAGATATTGCAAAGCTTTTCTGTTTAAATCAATCATGCAGCTCTGAGGTAAACATTTTAAAGATATTAATGAAGCTCAAGATCTTTGTCATTTCAACAAATTTTAACAAACAATTAAATTTGTTTAACTTGGTGCTCAACAATCAATAAGCCAATCTGATAGTCAAGTTGAATTAGCATATGGCTCTAAAAACATTGAAAATGCAATTTAGCAATGGATGATGCAGTTAGGCTGCATCACTCCAAGGAGACGGAAGTCTTCCACTGACAAATTACAAACTCTCATAAGTTAATTGTATTCCAACCCTTCTGATTAATACAGAAAAAAAAACATTGAGATCTTTCCTCCTTTTATTAAACACTGAAAAGCCAAAGATCAGGTTCCAAGTCAAAACTCTGCTTTAATAGACCTGCTTAGACTTGCTTAAGATCCTTTTAATAAAGTAATTAAATGTGCTTAGCTGCTTCTCAACTAGTTCAAACAGTGACTCAATTCTTTTGCCCATGATTAAATATGTAAATATTCTGTGGTTAAAGTATGCCAGTATAGTTATATGGCATATTTTCACAGATGGATGTCAACGTCTTCCCAAACAGGAAAGCCAACACAATACAGAGCAATTTACAATAAAGATAAAGAAGAAAATCCCAATAGAATAATTAATGCCCAACACAACACCTCAAATCTAACTTATATAAACAAAGTCCATTACAATTCAAATTCTGACCTTTTTCTCCCCGGTCCTCATTTCAAATAGTGAAAACAAACAAAACGAATCGAGTATTATGGATGTCAACTTGATATTTAAGGCAGATACCGTGATACATATTACAGCCACATTAGTTCTAGAGTGCTACAATATAGATCTATTTAAAGCATGCAAGCAATATTCCCTTAGGGGCAGGGCTGAACCACAGCAGACCTACCATACCAGTAAAATCAGGGCCGTTACGGCCCGTTGTGCCATCTGTTGTCATCAATGCCCTGTAAAGCCATTGTGCTGCTTGACAGACAGTTTGATTGCCTAATTACAGCTGAAACCATTTTAAAACACATTTACCTGCTTATTTGCACATATATGCAAGAAACCAGTTGGGCAACCTTGTGTCAGTGCGATGAAAGAAATGCAGTTATTTTAAAAGTTACACTTGCTTAGGTCTGCTTATCAGGGCTCAGCACTTTCCCTTCCATTATCTAAGGGGGGAGCGCCGCCCTGCCAGTGAGACCACCTGTTCCTCGCACTTCATAGCCTGTCACTGATACAGTCATGTGTGCTCACACCAGCTGACAGAGTTCAACCTCTGAAAGCAGGAGTGGGATGTTACACTGATCTCTAATCACTGGATTGCTGATAGGCCAGGCACCATATTGGTACTCCCTAGCTAGGCCAGTTGGAATGTAAACTTTACTTGCGCTACAGCATCGAAGAGTAATGATGTTCTCATTTTAAGGGGGGCTTAGGACTTTTAAAATAAAGATAAATTCATCCCTTCGACACAAACTTGCTGTTACATTGCATCAGTACATTATTATAATTCATGTTAAAAAAATAGGCACATCACATTGTATACTGAGTATGGAGTCCAATAAGTCCTTAAATCATGTAATATAACATATTATACAAATCCATCACAACAAAATTAGTGAGAACATAATACTGTAGTCAGATATTAACAATATTACACAAACACTATCTGATGATGTGCCAAACGTGCCAACTTGATGATGTACATGTACCTTTCAGGTGCAGACAAGTCGAATTATATGGAACCGTTAGAGGACAACATCCATGAAATTTTCCATCTTTTACTACATTTACTCACTGATTGATAAGGCACTTTGTCCATCTGATGAGGAACATCTCCTGCGATCTGTAAAGGGCGTACTGTTCAAAAACTGATTCTTCAGCCATGCAGCACGGTCTTCCTCAAAGGCCATTTTCTGCAGAATGCAGAATATTTATGTATTTAATACTGAAGTCTTTGCAGCAGTTTAAGTTAAAATGACCTCCATCAGCACTTACTTCTCGGCCCAGCCGAATAGCAGCCTCTGTGAAGTTCCTCCTCTCTTTCTCAAAGTTTCTCTTCTGCTCCTCAAAGAGCTTCCATTCTTCTTTTAGGCGCTCCTTCTCCTCCAGTGTGTAGCAGCCGTTCAGGAAAACTGCCGTCTCATCATCAAATGACGTGTTTAGTTGTTGCTAATAAAAAAAAAAATATATATATATCAAACATTAACCTTCACCTTTAATGAATTTGCTGACTTTTCATTTCATAACTAGATGATGCTGACCAAGAGAAGTTGCTGCTGTGTTTGAATGAACTCTTTGCACTGCTGGACTTCCTGCCTCATCCTCGCCATCTCATCCTCATGAGTTTCCAACGGTATCATTTCTTTGTTTGGCTCCATCTGATTCTGCATGTGGGAGGCTAACCAAACAGAAATTCAGGGTTGATTATAAAGAAAGTGCTTCCCAGCATAAAGCATTTATATTTCTTTCTTGAAAAGTCAAAACTTAGTGTCATGTTTAGATTACAGTACATTAACACACACAGTAGAATGGCATAGTTAAAGTCCCAGTCTCATCATTAGAATGTTTGACGAGTCTTGAGGGTTAATGTTCAACAATCCTTAAGCAGCTCATAAAAGAAGCTCGGGTTAAAAAGTTTAGTTACTAAATAAGCCAAGCAGAGAAAGGTTTACTTAAGGTGGAGTAATACACACCACCCTTTCCAGATTCCTGTGTGTAACAACTTTGAAAACCATCAATCCTTTTTCTCCCAATTTAAAATGATGTGTACTACTATAACTACTATTAATTTCTTGACTAAAGTCAAGTTGGTTGTAGGTTGGAAATTCACTCTCTGATCTACTGAAATTTATCTATGATTTCATTAACTTTGAGAAACTACAGCCAAAGTCACTCTAGTTTGTTTATTTTCTTTAATTAGCACAAGCTAATTAAAGGCTGAGTTTTCCTTTAAGAAACATATTGGAGTGAATGATGAAACAGCACGTATACCTTGGTCTAGTTTTACCACGTGGTTTCTCAGTTTCCTCCACTGCTGGCGGATGCTGTTGAGGAGTTGCTCCCTTGCATGTTCACAGGACTGGTCCAAAGCTTCTCTGCTTGTGTCTCTCTCTTCATCCAACTCAACCTTCAAAACAAAAACATCATCTGTTAAAGCATAGAGTAAAACATTGCAAAACTAAACTTGGAAGACAAAGGGGTAAGAGTTAAGAACCAAAAATTACGACTCAGTTTTATCATAGGGAATAGGTTCCTAAAATATCAATGAGAGAGAAGAGAAGTAAAGGCAAAATAAGTGAGGTTTTTCCTATACAGCTGCCTAAACTTGGATGGCTGTCCATTACAACACAATCTCTTCTTTTGACCAGGCTCT